TAGGAACTTCCTATTTATTGGCATTAATTGCCTGGCGCCGTCTTGAGTAATCAGGCGATATGCGCCGTTTGAGTAGACTGTGTCTATCACAAACGGTCCTTCCCATTTGGGTTCAAATTTACCTTTCTTCTTGGAGTTGAGGATTATCGGGCGGGATAATAAGCTGTCGACGAAACGTCTTCGATTTTGAACTTGTCACAAAACCTGATGAAGGCGTTGCTTATGAATTGTGGACCGTTGTCATGAATGATCCGTCTCGGCACGCCGTGTCGGTATATGACATGATGTTTGATGAAATTGATGACGTTGTTCGTCTTCACTTCTCTAAGCGGAATTGCTTCAGCCCACTTTGAAAAGTAATCCGTGATTGCGAGAATGAATCGACCACCTTTGACTGAAGGGGGAAAAATAGGACCAACAATGTCCATACCCCATGTCTCGAACGACCAAGATGTGATTGACGTGTGCAACTGCTCTGGTGGTTGGTGCATGTAATTTGCATGTATTTGACAAGCATGACACTCTCGGGCGTATTCGATTGCGTCACAAACCATTGTTGGCCAAAAGTATCCCATTCTCCTGATGCGATCATACAGTTTGGGACCGGGCTGATGCGCACCGCATTCTCCTTCGTGTGCTTCCTTAAGAACTTCTTCTGCTTCTTTGTTCGAAAGGTATCGGAGTAACAAACCATCGTACCCTCTACGATATAATGTATGAGTCTCGGTATTATAGAAGAATCTTGGTGCTTTTCGGCGGATTGATTCCCTTTCTTTTACATCTTCTGGCAAAATACCATATTGGACGTAGTCAATGATAGGAAAACGCCAATCTCGGGACTCAGACCCAATTTGAGTTGAATTCACCTCCTTGGCTCTTATGTTTCTGTCATCTTCCTCTTTAATATCCATATCGTATATGGGTATGCAGAGTTGATGCGTCCTTACTGTGACTAATAGTTCAGCTTCGGGAGGCTGCGCAAGTGATACCGCTAGTGCTGCCAGTGCATCCGCATAAGCGTTCTGGAGACGGAGGATATATTCAATAAAGAATTCTTTAAAAGATTCTGCCATTTTGATGGCCTCCTGGTGGTACGGGATCAGGTCTTGGTTCCTGACTTCATACTCTCCACGGACTTGGTTGACTATCAATTGAGAATCCCCAAAAGCTTCGAGATATTCGACCCCCAGCTCCTTGGCGAAACTGAGTCCAATGAGAAGCGCGTTTTATTCGGCTACGTTATTGGAACACGGGCTAGTCAGTGAATAAGCCCGAGGCATCACATGCTTTCCCGGAGAAATTAAGACAACTCCAACTCCGGAGGAGACTGTAGAACATCCGGGAGTTATTACCCTATTAACTGCCCTCGAAGCACCATCGAAATATAATTGCCATACTTGTTGGTGCGACATAGTGTTAACCTCGTGGGTTTCATCCGGCAAATCATCAAATCGCTTGTCCTTTGATCGACTTCTGTTGCTTGAAGTGCAAATCATATTGAGACAAGAGAAGGGCCCACTTCGCTAACCGCCAGTTCATAGAGGCCGGTTGCGTCATAAATACCCGTACTGGATTAACGTTGGAAATGACGTAAATCGTCTGTCCAACCAAATAATGCTGCATCTTTTGCATTGCGAATACCAATGCGAGGCATTCTTTCTCAATCATCAGATATTGAGATTCGGCACCTATCAAGGTCCGACTTAGGTAATAGACTGCCTGTTCGTGACCATTATCATCGTCTTGTGCTAGTAAAGCACTTATCGAGTGGTTCATCGCCTTGATGTAAATCAAGAACGGTTTACCCGATTTCGGTGCAACGAGAACAGGAGGACTCGCCAGATACGTTTTGATATCTTCGAATGCTTTTTGGCAGGCGTCGTCCCAAATAAATGACACACCTTTCTTGTTTAGCTTAGAGAACGGTTGGCACTTCCCAGAAAGATTTGAGATGAACCACCGGATGTAAGCTAACCGCCCTTGCAACCCTCTGAGCTCTCTTAGATTTCTAGGGGGTTGCAGTTCATGTATCGCCTTCACCTTATCAGGATCGATATGTATACCTTTAGTGGTGACGACGAATCCAAGGAATTTTCCGCTGGACATTCCAAGGAAGGATTTAGTGGGGTTCATCTTCAATTGATGACTCCGCATGAGATCGAACATCGTCTTCAAGTCCTTGATGTGATCTTCTTTGTTGCGGCTTTTTACAACCAAATCATCAACGTAGCACTCGACTGTTTTCCTGAGATGTTCTTGGAAAATATTAGTCATTGCTCGCTGGTACGTGGCGCCTGCATTCTTTAGACCGAAAGGCATCACGGTGTAGCAAAAGACACCGAGGGGCGTTCTGAACGCTGTATGCTTCTCGTCATCTGGGTGCATCTTGATTTGGTTATACCCTGAAAAGCCATCCATAAAAGACATTCTCTCAAACCCGCACGTATTGTCGATAATGATATCCGTGATTGGGAGCGTATTCAGGTCTCTGAAGTCGATACAGATCCTGATTTTACCGTTCTTCTTCATGACTGGAACAATATTAGCTAGCCAGTCTGGATGTTGCTCCCCTCGGATAAATCCTGATTTGATCAATTTCTTAACCTTTGCCTCAATGGCTTCCATAATCTGCGGACGAAACAGTCTTTGCTGTTGTTTGACAGGTTTGGCATCCGACTTGATATCGAGGCGGTGCATGGGCATATTGGGGTTGAGCCATAGTTCCACGCGAAGACGTCAATATATTCTCTGATGAGAGCAATTAATTCCTCCTTCTCATTTGAGGGAAGACTATCGCTGATGAATATAGGCTTTGGGTTGGCCTCGTCGCCCATGTTAATTTGGACTATTTTATCTTCAGTGGGGGGTTCTCTCTGTTCAAACCTATCACCATACTGCATGTTCAGGTAATGAACTCATGGGTCTTCCCATGTTGGCATTTGATCGTCGTTCTCCATTGTGGACGGGTCAGCCGTAGCCATGTTCGTCATTAGGGCTTTGAATACTTCCCCCAGACTTGTATCGGAATCCCATTCCGAGGAATCTGACGGGTACCCATCTTTGTATTGCTCAGATGATTGGTTATTGATTAACCAGTAACATTCGTCTTCTGAAGAAGAGACATACCCTAATCCTCGTATTTATAATAATCATCGGGTTTCCCTTTTGGTACATATGCCGCTTTGGCTGGAATATGGGGACCTCGATCGAAGTATAAACCTTCTCCGAGTGTGAAATCATATCCCTGTTTTTCCATGAGCTTGCGCGCTTCCGGACTATACTTAGATAAATGCAGACCAGGTTTGTCATCATTTTCATCTTCCCTTAAGAAATGATCTGGTAATGGAAAACCCTCTCCTTTACCTTAAATCACTT